TGTATTTTTACCCACTGAAGATGGCTCAATGCGGAGCCAAAACGTTTGGGTGATAATTATTGTTGTTAAATATATATAATTGTGGCACTAACTTCGTGCAAGGCTCACTAGCCCTTCGTTAGATATATAAATACTTTTAATTTTAAGGTAATTCTGAATTTGTATCTAGATGATTTTCTTATCCTGCGATTCTTAAGAGTCTGCAAGTTTAACATCGAGAAAACTAAGATCAGAATGCGAAACTATTATAAGCAGCGATCTGACTTACCGGAATGGTACATGAATAAGGATCCATTTCAACCGGAACTACAAGAGCTGCTTAATATGGGGTAACAGCCACTGCTTCGGAGTGAATGTATAATTTAAATAAAATTTTTCTTCTATCGGGAAATAAATTAGAGTATCTACTTTAAAATAATTTATTTTGAAGTATTTTATAAATTTTTGCACCTTGATAATTATTACTGCTAATTTATCTTTTGTAAAGGGGAGATTACAACTTACTGCAGTTAATGGCACTTTATTTACAAAACTCAACTCTTTTATATATTAATTTATATTTACTTTAATAAATATAAGTTTTATTAATAATTTTAAATTGATAACTAAAAATCAATAGCGAGTTTTTTTTAGTTTTCATTTATAAAGATTGGACGATACCCAATAGAAATTATTATTAATTGAAACTTTAATTTTTAGGACAAATTGTTTAAATTTTTGTCAATTACATTATTTCAACTTTATATTTTAGTAGAAACATTTTATTTAAGTTTTCTTATACAATTAGATACATCGCTATAAAACTACTCTCTAAAAGTGAATTAGTGAAATTATCATTGATTTTCAATGTACTTACAGTTGTGATAAATATTAAATAGTGAGTAATCTGAATATTGTTTTAGTGATAACATACTGATTCAAACAAATTTTATTGTCAAACAATATTGAGAATTGAAAATCAGTGATGATTTTATTAATTCACTTTTAGAGAATAGGATTGACTTCTGCGAATGATTCTAAAATATTTCGTTTAGGTTGGTTTTGCCTCTGCGAAAACTGGATAGTAGAGGAAGATTGGTTTTCATAATACGTGCTACTCGAATTGATCCGACAATACACGAACTATCTGACTTAATTAAGGTAAAAATTGGAGTAGCAAGTAACAAAGTGTTTCTAATATTGTCATGATAAAATATTTCCCATTGTTTCTCTTCGAACGATTATTTTATCAGATCTGTGTAATGTTGACGGAACTAACGATGAAGAATAATGCCATAGCATCTGTGTATGGTTTGGTTGTGTTTTTTGATTTGATCAATCCAACAATGCGACACATTGCTCAATTTTCACCTCAAATGATAATGAATATAGTTCACGCGTGGCAGAGCTGCTATCCTGTAAGGATGCAATCAATAAACTTTATCAACGTGCCGACAATTATCGATGGTTTTATTAGGATTATGAAATCTTTCATGACGAAGAAGATGAAGAACAGATTTCACGTTTACTCACACATGTCGCAGAGCTGTTTTAAGGATGTTCCAGCAGATATTTTGCCAATCGAGTATGGCGGCACTTATGATACAATTCAGGAATTAACTGGTAATAATAGCAATTATTGGCAAAGAAAAAAATAAAATTTTGACAGCAATCATTTAAATAATTAATAATAGTTAAGAAATCACCGAATTAAAAAAAAATATATATGAGGAGTTTTGATTTTAGCTTGCATAATACTTAATTCAATATATGTATAAATATTTATTTCTGCAGATTATTGGAAGAAATTGGTCGAAAAGAATTGCGACTGGATTAAATGATGAGAATAACAAAATCGAATATACTACACACCTATAACGTTTTGGAGCAGTTTAGAATTAGTAACAAATATTTGCTTTTAAGATATGGTTGGATGTATTTATTTTATAACGTTATCGTAATATAAATTGAATTTTGTTTGTTTTGTGTTTTGGAGAAAGAAATCATCTTCCTTCCTCTTTTACTGCAATGTGTGATTCTATCGCGTTGGCACAATAGGAGAGAATGGATGAATTATAAAATTTCTAGGAAAGGTAATAGTTTATATTATTAAGTTACATGAACGAACAAAAAATGTATCTCTTTCTACTTCGTATTAAGCATTCAGTTTATTTCTTCTATATTGTATTGTATAATTTTATTGAAACCGTTAAAGATACATATTATAAAGAGTATAGTGATTGATCTATTTCTTAATTGACATATTTTATAGAAAATAAAGATAACAACCATCATAAATAAATTTACCGTAGATTTTTAAATCCGTTATCTGCTACAAATGATACAAAATTATTGTTGCTGATTTATCGTGAAAGTAATAATAAGAACCATGCAGATTTTGAGGACTATACTGCCAATCTCGTTAACTTTGTATACGGGTCGCGGGTCAAACTGCACCTTCATAACGTAAATTGTATGTTTATATTGCTAGGGTAACAATGCCATTATATATAAAGTTATATATAATATGACATCAGCTATTAATATAGATAAAACACTGGTTGTTAAGAAACAGGTTTATCTTTTTTTACGTTTTACATTATTGCGCATAATTTTCTCTCGCCAAGTGCGAATTTGGAGAAAGCTCGGAAGACTTTTCTAATAATGAAATAATACTAGGAAACGACGTTTACTTTATTTAGCACACTTGATTTTATTTTCTCGAATACAGATTGCACTTTTTTTGACTTTTATCGAGTTCCGGAAAAATAAATCGTTTCTCTTATTCTTTTATTACGCAAATGCTCCTTGTCAGGAGCATACCCAGATAGCACACAGAGTTAAAAAAAATTTATTAGTACAATATATTCAATCGTATATCATCAATTCTGAGTTTACTTTCAGGCGCAAAAAGAATTCTTTTTCAGAATTTTTAGAAAAAGTATTCTTTTTCTAAAAATCATCAGAAAATGAAAAATGGCGCTTCAATATGTTAAATAAAAACAATGTACGTGTTTGAATAAGACAGAACGATATTGTAAGATGTGCATTTCAAGATACCACTGATATTGAAAAGTCTAGCTATTTTATTGATCTCGTGCAAATTCGGCCGATCTGCCAGCTTTGTTTTAAATTATTGACAATTTATCAAATATCTGTTGCAAATAATATAATTATTGAGACTGTTTTATCGTGAAAATAATTTTTTAAAAACCGCATACAGATCTTTTTATGATCTCGTTTATTATTAGTTCTTGTTTAATTATGCATCAAACTGCGCCACATTATTTGCTGATGTAAGTTTTATGTTTATCATCGTCACGATAGCAGTCACTAGATCAGCTCAATACAGATAATTTTTATTATTTTTATCGAGGTTCAACTGTATTTTATACTTAAACAGATTAAATGTTAAAGTATTTTCATGTCGAGAATAAATAGTTCGTTTAATCAAGCTCATAAAACTATCGTAAATCATAAATTGTTGTTAGCTACAGATGGCGCAATTTCTGATTAATTATTCAGTGACGCCAAAGAGCATTGAAGATTCCAAGAGTGCATGTTGTTACGCTCTATCTGTAGTGCTAGGTATAAACCTCTCAGTGACAGTATATCGTATTTTCACGACACAAATCTTTTTGCAGTAGACGAAACTTTTTATTCACTTATTACAATGGAGAACGAACGTAATTATGGTGACAGGGTAGTGCACGTTTTGCAAGAGTTGACCAGTGAGGATAAGAAATATGCGGCGAAAAATTTGAATGAATCCGACGAAAATAGAGAGAACGCCATCGCGGAAATTAGAGGCTGGATCAAAGACGAATTGCGCATACGAATCGGTAAAAATGACAGC